ATGGGAGTGCCTGACTATGGTCACGTAGGAACTGGAGCTTCTCCTCCTAAAAGGTGGCAGGATCAGCAGCCCAACTGAAGTGCATCTACAGCGATGCACATGGCGTGGGCAACAAACAGGAGTTACTGTGCAGCAGGAAAACTGACACAGTTGCCATCATGGAAAGGTGGTGGGGTGACTGGCACAACTGGAGGGCTGCAGTGGATGGCTGTAAACCCTGCAGAAGGGATGGGCAAGGAAGGAGAGAGATACCCTGGGTTCTGCTGACCACCCTCTTTGCTTCTCCGAGAATCAAAAACTCTGCCCAAGAAGGCCTTCAACCATCACATCACCCACAAGTCCTTCTCTGTTCACAAACAACAGGTCCAGTGGGGTGCCCTGCAGACTTTGGCCTCTTTAGGAGCTTGGTTGACAGTTAGTCCCTTGGGAAGCAGTTCTGAAGGGCAAAGGAGTCCAGGAAGGCTGGACATTCCTCAGGAAGGAAATCTTGAAGGCACAGGAGTGGGTCATCTCCGTGTGCCGAAAGACGAGCTGGTGGGGCAGAAGACCACCTGGCTGAACAGAGAGCTTTGGCTGCAACTTAGGCCAAAAAGGAGTTTATGACCTTTAGAAGAAAGGGCAGGAACCTCGGGAGGACTACGAGGATGTTGTGAGAGTAGGTAGGGAGAAAATTAGAAGGGTCAAAGCCCAACTGGAACTTGATCTGGCTACTGCTGCAAAAGACAACAAAAAACATTGCTATAAATAAATTAGCAGCAGAATGAGGGCTAAGGAGCATCTCCATCCTTTATTGGACGTGGGTGGAAACTTAGTGACCAGTTGGTGGCCAGTCATGAGTGGTGTTCCCCAGCTCTGATTAATACCTTCATCAGTCATCTGGACAAGAGAATCGAGTGCACCCTCAATCAGTTTGTAAGACTGCACCCAGCTGGGTGGGAGTGTTGATCTGCTGGAGGGTAGGAAGGCTCTACAGAGGGATCTGGACAGGCTGGATCAGTGAGCTGGGGCCAATTGTATGAGGTTCAACAAGTCTGAGTGCCAGGTCCTGTGCCTGGGTGACAACAACCCCATGCAATGCTACAGGCTTGGGGCAGAGTGACTGGAAAGCAGAAAAGGACCAGGGGGTGTTGGACAACAGCCATCTGAATATGAGCCAGCATTGTCCCTAGGTGGCCAAGAAGGCCAAGGGCATCCTGGCCTGGATCAGCACCAGTGTGTCCAGTAGGAGCAGGGAAGTTCTCTTCCCCCTGCACTGGGCACTGGTGAGGCCGCAGCTGGAGTGCTGGGTTCAGTGTTGGGCCCCTGAGTCCAAGAAGGACACGGAGGTGCTGGAGCGTGTCCAGAGAAGGGAACGGAGCTGGGGAAGGGTCTGGAGCACAAGTGTGCTGAGTTCCCTTGTGGCTGAGGGAACTGGGGGTGTTGAGCCTGGAGAAAAGGAGGCTGAGGGGAGACCTTCTGGATCTGAAAGGGGGATGTGGAGAGGTGGGGGTCAGTTTCTTGTCCCAAGTAACAAGCGATAGGAGAAGAGGAAACAGCCTCAAGTTGTGACAGGGGAGGTTTAGATCGGGTATTGGGAGCAATTTCTTCTCCAAAAGGCTTGTTGAGCATTGGAACAGGCTGCCCAGGGCAGTGGTGGAGTCCCCATCCCTGGAGGGATTGAAGAGTCGTGTAGATGTGGTGCTGAGGGACATGGGTTAGTGGTGGGCTTGGCAGTGTTAGGTGTATGGTTGGGCTCAATGTTCTTAAAGGTCTTTTCCAACCAAAACAATTGTATGAAAGGTCCCTGCACTGACAGGGAGCTGTATGGGAAATGTTCCCACTCTCAGGCAGTACCGTCACTCTGCTGTCTTCCTTCAAGCTGAGGAGAGCTAACAGCTGTCAAACGTTATTGTTCCATGTGCCTCCAAGATAAGAAATAATTCTGGGGTCAGGGGCATGTTATGTAATCATGTCAAGGAATCCTGTGGGTGAGCAGCTCCCTGGTAGTTGTATTTTCTCAGAAAGGAGAGGATTCTTGTTTCTGAAATAATCAGCTCCTGCAACATTAACTAAATTTCTTTAGAATTTGTTTAGTGCAGTTAGGATAATTTTGGCTTTTGCATTCATGTAACAATACCATGTTCGGGCACAAAATTGTAATCTCTGGAAATTTTTATCATCTGAGTGTCTAGGCTGGGAATTTCTGGTGTTTCTATTCCATGTTAACAAGTCTGTAGCTATAGGCAGTGCTCTCTCTAGCTGCTGCCAGTATCACCGAATTTAACTTGAGAACTGTACCTGTACTTGCAGTCAGATCAAGTGACTCCAGTAAACAAGGGGAGACACTATCCAGCGCCCCTCATCACTAATCCTGGACTTCGGTCAAGGATTAGTAGGTGCAAGTAGGTGCTTGATCAGCAGTTTCCTTTGGCACTTGGGAGCCAGGCTTTGCTCCCAAGTATTTATGTCTGTAATTGCAGGGACAGGGTTCAAAGCTTTTTGGCCCGCTGCATCAATACGCTGCCTGGGTCTATTTCCTGACTTGCACGTTTTTTTCTTGCCAGCAGGCTACAATATGATGTCACAGGAGGATACAGACAACTCCTCCTGCATCCTAAAGAAACCAAGGTGTTACAGCTTTGGGGAGAACATGATGACAAGGCAGACAGCAAGGGAGAAACACAGAAAGGAGAAGGAGCCGACGTATGTCAAGAGTCTGAGGAAGAGGAGATCTTTCCTGAAAACCGATTACACCTCACAGGTCACTTTCCCCTTGGCTTTGCCGGGCTCTCTGCAGAGCTGCTGCTCTTGGCCACCCCCCCCACCACTCCTTGCTCAGCCCCCTGTTCCACCCTCCTCAAAGAACATCAAGAAGGATGCAGAGCTGGGACTTCCTGCTGCCACCCAGGCCCAGAGAGACGCTGCTAGCACAAACCCATCCTCTGACCTGATGGAGATGGAGCCTGACACCATGGAAACAAAATCAGTGACTGACTCGGTGGTTTCTTCCATTTCAGCTGTTCGCCTGCAGGGTGACCAGCACAAGGAGGAGAGTGCAGGCACTGCCATACATGTGGATGGTGGCCTCCAATCTGCACATGCTGTACATCCATCTTTCCTGTTCCTGGACGAAGCTGTGCCTCTTCCTGGAGGACACAGCACAGCTGTCCAGGGAAGTTCCCCCATGAATGCAAATACTGAGTGGGCAAGTGAGGAGAGCTGTGTGGCCACCGGAGGCTGGCTGGCCCAAGAGACACCAGAGGAGGTGGGTGAGGTGATGACAGCCCAGCATAAGGCTGGCGATGTAATCTCATTCCTGGGCCAAGAGGTGACCTGCCCTGCTAATGAACACACAGTGCCACCATCAGCTTATGGCCCCAGTGTGGCCCCTGACCAGGAGGTGGCCCAGGACCAGGAACTGCTGACCACTGCTGGGAGGCAAGCAGCGTGTGAGGAGCTCCCAGTCCTGGCTGCCTGTGAAGACAGACAAGCTAATTGTGAAAGCTGTGCTGAAAATAGCAGTGACAGCGCCTTGCCACAGGCAAAAAGCAGACAAGTGGTAAACAAAGAGGCTTTATGGAAAGTGCACAATAAAAATCACGTGGGTTTTCCAGATGCAACCCAGCTCTTAACAGATTGCAGCAGCACTTCAGGGGTTATAACTCGCCTCTCCTGGCTCTCATTTGGGGTGAGGACAGACCTCACGTCACCCAGCCCATCTCAGGAAAGGGTAGAGAGCTCACTAGAGCTTTTGGCCTCTCAAAAGACCAGTGGGTGCCTGGGGGCTGGTGCTGTCAGAAGGGAGATGCAGACATCCCCAGCTGGACCACCCTTTGAGAAAGAGTTGGTAAGCAGCCAGGGCCTGGAGGAAGGAGAGCCCAGAAAAGATGCAGGAAACGTGGCTCACCAACAGCCATGGCCTGTTCAGACTCCTCTTCCCACAGAAGGGGCTGCCGAGGTGGGGACAGACTCTCCTCTGACTCCATCTCTAGGGCTTTCCATCTCCTCAGGCCCAATTTCCCTGGGTTCGTTGGGAGAAAGAGACCATGGGGCTTCAAAACACTCCTTCCTCTGCTTTAACCACAAGAAGGATGTGCAGACCTGTTTTGACCCCATCATGACCAGGTCCTTGGGTTTTTCCACAGTGAAGATGACATCTCCACCACCCCAGCTTGGGATGGACAAGTGCAGCTGTCAGCTGTCCTATATCAGCTGCTTCCCCAGGCCTGATGACAAGGGGGAGCATGAAAACACCACGGCGACGTGCAGCACCTTTCTGGGGCCCCTCACCACCCCACCATCCAGCAGCCACAGTCTTCCTGGGACCCCTGTGGGCAGTTACCCAGTCTCCATTGCTAGGGACGAGGCATGGTGGGACCCTCATGTCCAAGCCCTCAGACAGCTGAAGGATCAAGCACGGATGAGCCCTGCTGATTTCTCCTGCTTCCTAGCCTACACTGCAGAGCTTCAGGAGGTTGTTGGGAAGCTCTCCAGGAACCAAGCAACGCATCTGCAAGATGAATGTGCAGAGCAGGGTGCTGAGAGCAAGGATGCCCTTGGCTTGGCCTCCCAGGACTTGCTGTCCAGTTGCCAGGAGCTCCTGAAAACAGAGCAGCCCCTCAAAGAGCTGCAGGGTGCACTGCGGGTGACATTTGACCACCTGGTTCAGCTGGCAGTGACCTGCTTCCAGGTGACATGCTGCCAGCGGTGCAGACAGAGGCAGGAGCAGCTTGGGGCCGCACTCGTGGACGTGGTGGGCACCTACCACCAACTTGTGCAGGCTGTTCACCAGCAGCTTCACAGGCAAGGCTGCCTGGATCTGGGTGCCAAGCTCCTTGCCCGCCAGCACACAGCCCTTGCAGCTGCCATGTTTTGTCTCCTGCAGCAGCTCAGGGTACCCCCATTGCTGTGACGGGGCTGTTTGGTGGCACACAGCTGCACTGGGTGAGGAGGAGCCCAGCCATGTTCCCCCTGTCCACTACCAGGCTCTCCCCCACAGGATGTTTAGCCCCACAGCTCCAGAATGTTCGCAGGACATGTCCATGGGTGTTGGCTTAGCTCCAACAAGAGCTGCCCTGTCCAGGGCGCGCTCATGGGGATAGGACAGTCCTACAGCTTAGCTTTCTGAAATTCTGCGTATGCAATCCATATGTAAAACATATGTAGAGCGCTTCAGTGGCTTGTGTACCTTGCCTGAGGCTTGTCCCTCACCTCCCAAAGGCCTTGCAGGTGGCTAGTTTCCTAGCCGCTGTCTGTCACCTGTGGAAGAAGATAGGAGCCTTTTAGCATGCCTTTCCTCCACCCTTCAGTCTCCAGGCAGACTCCGAAGTAGACTGATGTCAAATCCCACCCTGGCCCGACATGAAAGAACCCCAGCTGCTTTGTCTGCCCTCTGTGGCTGAGGAGGTGTCTGGACTTCTAATGGAAACCTCTTCGGGAACAACACGGGGCTGCATTTCACTGCTTTTCCTTGCAAGGGCTGGAGAGAGGGTTGTCCCAGGCGAGGGAGGCAAGGCTATATCCTGCTCTCGGATCCAGTTTGTGTGTTAGCCAGGTCATCAATTCCCATTTGCTGATGCTTGAGAAAGTCCCTGATTAATGCCCCCTTATGCTACTTAAGGATCTGCGTCTTCCAGAAGGAACAAGTGAGCCCTGAGACTTAAATGTCACCTGCAGAGCTATGGAGATGACCCATTTGCTGGCCTCCCGAGGAGAGAGCAAGCCCCTTTCCCAACCTTTACCAGCAGTAGCTTTTCTTCCATCATGTGTGGTATATCCCTAGGGATGTATGAGGTGGTTGCCCTTGAAGGTTGTCTAGCTGTGCACCCCTAGTGAAGCAGCACTCCAGTGCTGGCAGCACGACCGTGGCGCTTTCTGAAGAGGGCAGAGGCAGGACCCTGACAGCTGCTGTGTAACTCGGGGCCTTGTTTGGGAGTGGCCGGCTTTCTCTGGGGGACGCCTGCAGCCGATGTGCGGCGTGACAAGCGGCCACTGCAGCAGGTCAGTTGCTGCATCTGTGTGCTGGGGATGGAGGGATCTGCGCCAGGCAGCAGAGGAGCACGGGCAAGCCACCTCGGCTCTGCCCGCGCACACCTCTCCCCAGGCAGGAGGGCAGCACGGAGACAGGATTGTCTTGTGGCTCTGTAACACCTGAGGGAGGACACCCACACTTTTTGCTCATTCTTTAATGCTTTCAGAGGGCATAAAGGGCGAGTCCTCGCAGCTGAACCCTGGTGTGGAAGTGGATGGCAGCTGGGGCAGAAGGGAGTGCTGCATCACCCCTAAGAGACCTCCCTAGCCAGACGGGCCCTAGCAGCCAGACAAGCAAACACCCACAGGAACTCAGCAACTTTTAGCAGCCCTACACCAAATCCTCTACAGCTGCTGCTCTCAGCAAGTGAGCTGACCAAGGACAGTCTGCTTTCCTGGCCACACAGGGACAGGGTGGCCAAAGTACCTTCAGCACTGGAGAGGGTTAGCACTGTCAGCTGGTCTGGGTTAGCATATGCTGCTGAGCTGCCTAGAAACGTGAAGTCTCTTGAAGCCCAAGTCCAGACTTGCAACTACACACCAACAGCTGATGAGCAGGGGGATGTGAAGAGCAAGAACTGGAAGAGCCCATGGGACACCCAAAGAGCCCAGAGGGCACAGCAAAGCAACAGGCACCGGCAAACACAAATTCAGCCCATGTGGGGAGCAAGGCCCTGTGTCCACCAACAGCAGCAGGCCCTACTGACACTGTCTTACGGGAACTGAATTTCAGGTGTGTGATAGTTTAACTTGCAAAAACCAGGACAAAGGGTTGTGAAAGAAGTCAATGTGAAGGAGAAACAAAAACACATAAGCATAGGAGACAGTAATTTACCTCAGAAGACCTTCAGGTCCTTCCACTGGTGGTTAAACATAGTCATTGACTGGAAAGTTTTTTGGTTGTCCTTTTCTTTAAGCAACAATGGCTGAAGTAACATAGCAACTTAGATGCATCAAAAATGCTTTCTGCATGTACATCACTGCACAGTCAAAGCCCAGGTATCTTTCCAGAAGGAGTGTCAGGGTTAGTGAGCTTCACCTGTCAGTGTAATAATGTACCATGCATGCATCGGTATCTGTGAGAATGCAGTGGGAGTTTAAGAGTAAATGCTTTATTTTACATTAGATGCAAGAGATTAGCTGTAGGCTTCAACAACTCACCAGGTCTTCAATTCAGCTGGTCTAAAGTTGTTAGGATGTGTCACACCTGGGAACTCTTTCTCCTCTGGTGAATCACTTCCCATCCTGTGCTCCCCAACTGGAACAGCATTGTCTTTTTCCATGGGAAGGAATTTTCCTCACCAGTGAGCTTTGCAATTCTAACTTCACCTTACTTACTGTTTAATCAAGGTGAAAGAAATACCTTAAAGCTCTCTTCCCAGCCCCAGAACAAGCGTAGATGCTAGAGTCAGAAACACTCTAACAAGCATCTGCAAAGTGAAACTGAATTCCTGTCAGTTTTTGCTTGACCCCAGGGCTCCATCAGCTCTTGTTTTCTGTTCAAGGGAACAGTGATTTCCAGCATTGTACTGCTGAGGTAGAACGTGTGGATCTCAACAAGGTCCTTCAACAAGATCAAGCAGAGCAGTTTTCTTTATGCGCATTACCTCTCCTTGAAGTTTAGAGTTTGCCTCTTTTGTCTGCACAGCTCCTTAACATCACAAAATAAAGAGTTTTCTCGTGCATCGTCATGCTGAGGTATTTCCACTTATTTCACTGCATCTGGTAGCACATAGCCTTTTCCAGCAGAAACTCCAGCTTTCAAGGCCATTGGCCAGCTTCGGGTCTCGTAGTAAGTTGATAAGACATCAAAGACTGTCGGGAACAGAGAGATGTACCGTGCTGTGATGCTGGTATCAATGACAAGCTCTGTAATACACACACCCCCTGGCTGCAAAACATCGGGAAGTTATAATAGCTGAGGCCAGAGAAGGTGAAGGTTAGCATGGCACCTGCATTCCCTCTCATTTAGAATCTGAAGAGCAAGTGTTTGAGGCAGCTCATCTAGGAGCAGATGACTATTGTGAAGATGACTGTGGGGAGCTCTGGCTAGGAAAAGCAGAGGCTGTGTCAACTAAAGCAGGGTGTCCCCCAGTCACCGTTGTGACGGACCTGAGGTGCTGACGACAGTACACCCATGGTAGGTCACACCTGCTGTGCTTCCACTATGGCTTCTCAGATGCTGTCTCTCCACATCAGGGCTCCCCTGGGGGACAGACACTACGGTCTCTAGCAGCTGGGCTTGCTGCTCTGCAGAGCCCTCCACCACCTCCTCTGCCTTGTGCTGACAGAGATGGCAACAAAGTCCTCATGCCAGAGGCAAGAATTTGCTAGAGCTGGCTTAGGACATGGGTCGCCCTGTAGTCCCTAGCAGAGAGGTGTTCACATTACAAAGCCACAGACTGCCAGCAGAGGTGGAGGAGCGTGGGCACATAGAATCATAGAATGGTTTGGGTTGGAAGGGACCTTAAAGACCATCCAGTCCCAACCCCCCTGCCAGCAGCAGGGACACCTTCCACTAGACCAGGTTGCTCAAAGCCTCATCCAGCCTGGCCTTCAACACTTCCAGGGAGGAGCAGCCACAGCTTCCTTGGGCAACCTGGGACACTGTCTCACCACCCTCACAGTGAAGAACTTCTTCCTAATATCTAGTCTAAACCTCCCCTCTTTCAGCTTAAACCCATTTCCCCTTGTTTTGTCATTAACTGCCCTTATGCAAAGTCCTTCCCCAGCTTTCTTGTAGCCCCTTCAGGTACTGGGAGGCCGCTATAAGATCTCCGCAGAAGATCTACTGATGTGACCAGGTGGCCCAGCCCGTGGTCATGATACGGAGCCATCACAGTGGTACAGCATACCAACACCCCACCCCACCCCAATTGAGACAAGGTGTCATAAGCCTTGTCTTGATTGAGCCTGACAAGGGCCTGACAACTTCTGTCCTTCTCCCTTGCCTGGGACCTTGTGTGACTTGTAGCAATAGCAGCTTCCTCACATCTCCCCACACTAACTCTTCATTGCTTTGTGCAAAGCCAGAGTGATGCGAGTCCTGCCCCTGTGAGAAAGGGCTGATGCAGAGAAGCACACAAGACCTTAAAATGGGGGCAGTGGGGATAAAACTGAGTAAGAGAAACTTCTGTTCCCAGTGTTTCCCTCACTACTCAGCACCAGGCCTCCATTTTGAAAACTCTGCTGCTCCCCCGCTCCTCTGGCCCAGACAAGTGACAGGACATGGCTCAGCCTCTCACCTTGATTGATGGCCAGTGTCTCTGAGTGGTAGTTCCTGGTGTTAACAGTTTTCACCATGTACTCACGAATGGGGAGGCGGGCTGTTTGCAAGGACTGCTCCTGTGCCCTCTGCAGAGTCAGCTTCTGCAAGGAAAACAAGAACAGGGTGGCCAGCCTGCGCAAACTGGCACATGCATGGCATGCACAACATTTTGGGTGCAAGCAGCTACAAAGCCAAAAATTGTCCTGGGGCTCATTTCACCCAGACTGCTGCAGACTCTCTCAGCCTAGTGCTGGGTCCAGGCAGAACCTTGAGGAAAAACAGATGATGGCACAACAGTGATGTCCCAAACAGAGGCAGCAGCAGTTCTGGGCGCTACCAGTGGGATGTCTCTGCTCTCACGAGAGACTGGGGCAGACAGCACCTTCAGGTTCCAACAGACTGCTACCTACCTTGTGAATACTTTCATCCACCAGGCCTCCAAGGACGTACACTTTATTTGGATCAATATCTTCAAGGACTAGAAACAAGATAAGCACTTGGTCACCACCATACAACAGTAAAGTCCTGCATTACGCCATTCCCCGAGCAAGACCCCTCTGCCATGAGAAAGCTGTGGTCAGTCACCCTTCACCCTGGAGCCTCAGACCCATGAAGGAGTCTGAGGCCTCAGAGACACACATGTCTGCCTGAACCTGCAGGCAGACTGAAAGGCGAAGTTCAGACATAGGCTCAAAGCGTGGAGTGCCCGAGATCCTGTCCATCGCTCCCTTTAACCGCTCTCTGTTCCGAGATGTGCCTGATAGGCTCACTCCGATCCCAGGCTCCTCTGCAGATTCCTCCCCACTGCCACAGCCACCTACTAAAACTTTCCCTTACCAGATTATTTATCAGAAGGCGGCACTTGTGTGAAACACAAAAGGGATCTACGTCCCCAGGAACATGTGGCCAGTTAGAAATGGAGGAAGAGGAGAAAATAAACAGCAGCAAATTAAGCAATAAAGGGAACGCTGTAGCTCCCGTGTTGTTTCAGAGAAAGATGTAATTTAGACCGTATTCAAAACTGCCACAGCATCTCCACTTTGCCACTTCGTAGTGTTACAGACTGCAAGGGGTCTACACACAGGTTGTAAGTTAAGTCTGCTGCAGAGCACACACAGACGTGAATCAAAATCTCATTCCCTGTCAAAGGGATTGAGATTTGAATAGATTTATCATCAGACCGAAGTGCACAGTGTACCACATGCAATTTGAGACAGTGAAGGCTTGGAATTAAATCACCTGAAGTATAAAATAGTCTCAAAAAGAAAAGTTTAAAAAGCAACCTTTTGCTCTAATTTCCCTGTGCCTAAAGCAAGTAAAATATTTACCATTCTCAGAGTCAGGAGTGAGATAAACAATTGCATCTAAAGGAAAAAGGTCCAGGAAACTTTCTTGAGTTGTATCCATCTGAAAAATGACATGAAGAGAAGCAGCCTGTTAGCCCAAACTCCATCTGTGAGAGCAAAACTCACTCTCAGACACAGAAATACACCGGAACTGATACTACTGCCTTAGGTGTTTAAACTCCTACAGACAGAGCAGGGTTTTTAAATTTGGAAAATGTTTCTATGTGGGCAGTGAACAATACATATCTCAAAATCCATGAAATAATATTCTCATCAAAATCCCTAGATGTGGTTTGAGGAAGGGAGATCTGCAATAATTACCTAATTTTAAATTATATCCTAATTCTTGAGAGATTGAGGAATCTCGGGTGGTTTTCTCCCCCCTCTGTTACCCAGCGCAGCCCCACGTGCGCTGTAGAACACATGGCTCAGTGCCAGTGCCATCACCAGTATGTGTGGGTCTCACGCTCGAGCCACACCAAGCTTGGTGCAAAAACTCAGGACAAGAATGTGTGATGTGCCCAAAGCCTCATCAAGCATATGTCTGCCTGTCCCCAGTATCACAGGTCTCTTTGCAGAGGTAGCATCTGGAGAAGGAATTCTCCTCCTGCAGGCAGGAGGGACACAAGCTCTAACTGGAAGGCCTTGCACATCACCCCATTATATGTCAGTTCTTGTCTCCTGCCAAAGGGCAAGAAGATCTGACCTTAACCACTGTCACTGAACTGCAGTCCCACAACCTGAGCTCACCTCCGCCTGTCTTGGGTCAAGAGTGAGGGCCAGCACTGTGGCTACAGCCTGCTATAAGCCTTGAAAGCACTGTGGTCAAAGATCCTTACCAAGTAATTGGAGAAGCCATCGTTCATGCGAAAACACTCCTCGTAGATCAACGAGCCCGCCACAAACTCCGTCAGACAGAGCCAGAAGGGTTTCTCGGCCCGCCTGTTTGCCCCGTAGAGTCTCCTGATCTGGGAGGCGAGGCGGCTTGTTTCCTTCCGACAAACAACAAGCACAGTGACCCACAAGTCTAGGGGCTGGGGTAACACAGTTCCACTCAGGGCCTGCAGACATCCACCACGCTCCTGTCACCACCTGGAGAGGCTGTTCCTGGGGAGCACAGCTCAGCTACCCCAGGGAG